TCGGTCCATTAAGTCGTATACATTTTTTACCATTGCCACAATTGGACCTCGTCAGTATAACGACTGAGGTAATTGTAATTGGTATAAATTAAATTTAAATTAGTTTTATAAATTATTAATAAAAGTGGAAAGTATATGTTAGTAGAACTAGAAAGTATTATAGATGGTGAGTATGTGTAAAGTAGCATCTTACCGAGGTTTGTTAGTGCTATTATCAACTTTTGTGTTCCCGTAAATCGCAGATGTGTCACGTGGAATATGACACAAACAGTTTTTCAATTCTTTATGCAAAAATGCATGGCCCAGCCGTCCTTCGGTACGAGCTTTATGGACTAAATCAGTTTTGCATGTTTCTTTTACTGAAACTAGATTCTTGGCTTACATTTTATGGTACACGAGTACCCCCTTAAAATTTAGCTTTACTGGCTTTTCTGGTTCCCGAGTTAGCGACTTACCCCCAAAAAAATTTCATGGGTGTTTACGTGGGAACCGTGCATATCTGGGGGCTGGGTTAGAGCTTATTAAGACTTATGGTTTAAATTTGTTTAGGAACCATGTGATTTAAATTTGTTCAGGAACTGAAAAACGAGAAACAGTGCTTGCTGGAGGCAGATAACAAGGGTCTAAAGGATGCCATTAAGTGGAAAGAGCAGACCAAAGATCTCTTCGAACGGAATGCTGAACTGACGAATGAGCTGGAGAAATACCGGGCTGCGGAGGCAAAGCTAAAAGATTGCTTAAATGAATTAGCAAGCAAAAATTTACTGGTAACTTGCTTTTTAAAATGTTCTGCATGCTCTGGTCTTTTCGAAGCTCATAAGATATCGAATTTTTGGGATTCGCTTCACAGGAACAACATTTTGTTGCATCGCTCCTCTCACCACTTTTTTCGCTCTTCCCAATTCAGTAAATTCAAGTTGTCTATTGATGGGTACAGTGCAGTGTTAGGTATCTTTACTGTGGTAATGAAATAGAAGAATAGAAGGTATTCACTTGAATGTCTTGTGTATGAGGAAATTTTATGACGCAGTCTCTGTGTTTCATCCCTTAGCGGTATACACAGGCCGAACAGTGCATGCGGGTAGGAGTGGGAATCATCATTACAGCCTCCTACCTGCCATGTTTTGAATAGTCATGTGTCTAATTTGCAAGACGGATGACAGAAAGGAATAGATATGAGTGAAGGAGCAAACAAAGTGAGGAAGGAAGGAAAGAAGGGAAGTTAAAACGTGGAGGAGCCAACAGAAAGAAAGGAAAGAAGGAAAGTTAAAACACGATACGGACAATCATTATGTAATCATAGGCGGATCCAGGGTGGCTTCCCGGGGGGAAGGCGACAGGGGGTATCAGAAAGAGTTTTCTACGGTAAACAACTCCTACCAGTGCCGTTGGGAGAGGGAGAGGCGGAGTTTGGAGGGGGAGGGGGGAAACTCTGGATTCCCTGCGATTTGTTCATTCGTTTCGGTAACAAATCGGTTCTAGCGAATGCCCGGGAGTTATCAGCTTACTTTTGAGTATTCTCAAGTGAGAAGAATGCTTAGAAGTTATCAGTTTAGAACTCTTACTAACAAGTGTGCTGTTTAACCAGCAAGCTTAAAAACAGCACACTTATTGGTAAGCCCCCTCTCCTCCTTTCCCCATGCACCTTATGCAAAGAAGCTTTTTATCGCCCGTTGGCCTGATGACAAATGCCAACGGAGCGGCAGTGAATATTGCCGGGACAAGCCTGGAATCTGCCGCTAGACCCGACGCGCCAGCTAGCAGTTCCCACGGCTTCGGAGGATCGAGGGGCAGCTCAGCTGCTTCGGCGGCTAGTCCCCCCTTCAGGGCCTATGACGATGAGTTTGAGGCCACTTTTCGGTAGCGGTTTAAAAAGCTTCTTTGCAGGGGTTGCATGAGGGAAGAGGGGGGAGGGGACTTACCAACAAGTGTGTTGTTGGCACTTGTCACTACTCGAGCTACCACCAAATTATATCACCTGTCACAGAGAATGTATGTGCAAAGAAGGTTTTTTTCTGAGCATTTGGATCAGTCAACGAACGCCGCTTTAATTTTAGCGAAATTCAATTGCATTCATCGTTTAATTTTAAAAATTGGTGGCAAATACTATGTCCTTCCTCTTTTTCGCCTATTTAAACGTTAAGCCCTTTGGATGCATTGAGTCTTATTCTTGTCTAGGCTGATTATTGCATGATTGTAGCATGAAAGGAATATGAAGAACTTAACCTAGTAGAAAGCGTACAGGCTGCCGGTACGAGGATGCGTTTTTTGCGCATTTCCTCTCGT